TCCTACCTGCTCCTGTCATAACCATCGAAGAGGGCGGAATTCAAGGAGTATATGTTGCTTTTGATTCAGTCGAATTCCTTTCCCAACTGGGCCCAGACTTTACCGACTACTTTGATAGCATCGGCTTTAACTGGAAGCGTCTTGCAGGTGCCAGGGTTGTTCAGATAGAGGGCCAAGATCCTTACGACTACGTTGATCACATCGCAACTACGGTTTCTGGGAACTACTTAGATCATGGGGTTCGCGTAAATTCGGTGTTTACAAGTTACCGAATCTCTGGGACTACGTTTTCTCAACGGTTAGGGGACCTCGCTGGGCCAACCGATGTTTCTCAAAATTCATTAACTTTTAAGTTAATACCTGTCAATTCAACCCGAGTAGAAACCTTCACCATTCCGTACCTCGCCAACTATCTTGGGCTTCCGTTCACTGACGGAGCTTCATTGTATGTTTTCATAGTACCCTATTGATTTGAAAATATGGTAATAATCCGTAAATAGCTGGGAAAGCAACTGCGCTGCCAATGAGTTCACCAATGGTGTGGACTTAAAATCCTTCGTTAAACCGGCTCGGCGACTCGCCAAGGCCGATATTATCGACAAATCCAATCTCAGCGCTATCGACCTCCCTCCTCGATTCCAGCCCAACCTCCCACCTGTCGCCGGAAGTGGCGGGGTTATTAAGTCTTTCATACTCCCTGATAAGAAGACTGGTGTTGTAGGTATTTAACTCCCACAACAGTGATTCTTACCCTAACAACCGCACTAGATGTTTGTTGGTTCATTTGGAGGGGACTTTGACGGCTTCCAATCTGATACTGTCGCTGCCATCAATTCATTCAAGGCTGCAGGCGTCACCCAACTTCTGATTGATCTTACGAACAACGGGGGTTTGTTCCCATCGCAGATAATGATCCCTATTTTGGTTTATGTAGGTTTGAAATAGGTGGGTTCGTATGCCTCGGCCAATTCCTCCATCAATACCTTTCCGGATCGAACTTTGGGTACCCGTGAGTGCTCCTATACTTATACTGACAAATTATTTTATATTTGTATAGAGGATTTGTATCAACAGTCCGGGCTAACCCATTGGCTCAGAAGATTGTCGCGGCTGATATCGAACTCGGATTGAACGACTTTTTCACATTCTACACCGGCGACAACTGTTAGGTCTATAAATCCAAGATAATGGTCGGACCCTCACCTAATTTTTTAGACGCCTTTTTGAACGGGACTCAAATGGCGGCGGACTTCGATTACATTGATCCCTCGGCACCTTTTACTGTTAATGGGCGTAGTGACCCCACCTCACAACGATTCCACGTATGCCTCTTTTCCACGACTCAGGATGTACCATGGTACTGATTTACTGTTGAAAGGATACGTGTGAGCTATTTTTCTCCCAACCAGTTCCTGCCACACCGCCATTTGATCTCAGGTACGTGACATGACCCTTACTATCTTCGTATGATTGAATTCATTTTGATATAGTAAAGTTGCCATTGGTTTGTTTAAATATATCTTGCCTCGCTACAACCATTGCAACTTTGATTTACAGTCAACAACGGAAACTGTGCCTCGACCTGTGCAATGTTTAGTACATTGATGAACGAACAACACAAGACTAAGATCGCTGTTTTCGGCGGGAAGCCGGGAGGAACGATCCAATTCAAGGGTACATACAACCACAAACCATGGGGCATTCTTTGACTTATTGACGAACAGGAATGGCGGGAAACCAGGTTCTTGAATGGGCAGACCTCGATACTGAGATTAAGACCGCAGGCGTGAAAGAGGTATCTATCCTATTTCATAACTTGAGGGAAATGGTCTGACATGCACTTACAGGACCCTTTGGCACCCCCCGACTTGTGAGTGGTTGAGCCGATCCATTAAAATTCATAATAGTTTATGATGGCATGTGGTAGGTTGGTTTCTGGAAACTTCCGGTAGGATATATTTGAATTAACCTCAGCTGGAGAGCTTAAACGATATTTTAGGCATAATTGGAGAACAGGTATGGTTCTATAAATGGACCACCGAGGATCCTGCTGATCATGTGGCCTGGCCAGCTTGGAGTTTCTTCAACGAAAATATTCCTATTGGTAAGAAAGCGAACGGCGTCTCCGAGCGAAAATTATGCTAATATTCTCGTCAAGCATACGTGTCTGAATTGCCTTTATGTGAGTAATAATCATGACAGCTCTGGTCCAACAAGTGACGCAAGATGCGTTACAGTCCGGTTCCCTTACACCAAGGACACATACAACAATCCGCAGAACTTATGGACCTTCGCGTAAGTTCAGCAATCTAGTGTAGGATTATCCAAATTAATGCATTGTCTTTAGTGCAGGAAAACTGTTTGCATAATTAACTTGAGGGTTTCTTTTGTGGAGAGTTTATAGTAGTTCGATCATCCCTGTACCCCAGTCATATCAAATTGATCTCGCATTTTTCGTCTGCAATACCGCAGGCATGACCCACATTACTAGTTTATTAGGACGCGACGCCGGGTGGATACCGCGGACCTGCGGTGATAGGTTCAATTGAAGGTAGTCAAAATTTTCTTTTTAATACACAATTAATACAGCACTACTGTTGCTTGCCGTCCCCGAGTCACGAACTTGGTACATAACAAAATCGTGTTGCGGAACAGAGCGATAAGGGGTTGGTTTTTCTTGGTTTAAATAAATAAAATTTGTACCTCCGTCTGTGCTGTACGACATCCGGTGATAACCATAATCAACAACAACAACGATCACTTTATTTTTGCATTCTTGTCAGTTTCATTTCTGGCCAGTGGATTTTCAAATGAATTTAGTGCTTCTCTTTCATGACTCCTCATACAAATCCCTTTCTCGTGTTTGAATTAAAATTCTAGTCTGGTCGTCGCTGGTAACCAAGGTCTGACATGTTGACATTCCAGGGTCGGGACTAGTTAGCGCGTTATGTTGAGCGGTCCGTCCTCGTTTGGGCTATTTGTTTTTCCCATTACGTCTTTAACCCTTCATTTAACGCAGCCTCGAGTCGGCGGACTCGCACCGACACGAGGTATTCATTTTCTCATAAGACCAACTTTAATTTGTCGTGCCTTGCCTTTTCCTCCGCTCAAACCCCTCGATATAAGACGATAAGCCTGCGATGCCCATCTTCCGTGCACGCTCAGATATCGCTCCTCTAAGCCCACTACATCGACAAGGCTCCATGCCACGGTTACGTGATCCTCAGCCTCCTGCACGTTCGGTCGAGGGTCAAACCACACAATCCGACGACCACCTAGTTCCTCCAGCCCGAGATCTACGGCGGCCTACGTCCAGCTTCAACCTGGGGTCAGGCTTCGAGGTCATACCCACCATGAATACGCGCTCGAAAGGCATAAGACCACTACCCCCCATCCCAACCACAACGCCACCTTCCTACACTGAGGTTTGCCCTCACGACTACCCGACTCTTCGGGTGATTCGTCCCCTTCCATCGCCCCCCACTGGTCCTTCACGACCCGATATTATCGACTTGCCTCGAGGACCGTCTTCGACCCAACATCAAAATGTGGTGGCAACCACAATCTCCCCCAAACCCGTACTCAGCGTCGAGCTAGGCCCAAACGCGCCCGCCCCGAGTGTCAGGCTCGTGTCGCCACCCACCACCCGGCCCGCATTGCCTCTGCTCATCACAGACACGGAGCTGCTAAGAGTATTTCCACCACCAGCTGACCCTGTATCCATGGTCAACTCGCCCGCCACGCCTCAGCCGCCCACACCCCAGACTGCCAAGCAGAAGCGGATAACCAAGCTCCGGCGCCATCTCGGCGAGCGCATCCCTGATGAAGCTGTCCCCATAATTCAGGTTACCCCACAGCGCAAGACAGAGCAAGGCTTGGAGCGGCTCCAGAAGTTAGGCGTAGACTCGATATACTTGCGTGCGGCGATTACGGTCGGGAAAATTTTGAATATTCCAGATGATGGGGGGAGTGATAGGAGCAGTGTGGCGAGTGAAGAGGATGAGGCGTATGAGTGGGATCTTGTGGATAGCAGAGAGTGTCGGTCTATGAGTCGCCGGGAGAGTCGGAGGTGGGTACGGGAAAAGGGGGGCCGGCGCTGGGAGGAATCAAATTACGAGAATGTTCTTCAGGCACTGCGCGCTTTGTGAGCGGCGTTCCTCCTCCATGCTCCCCGTCATGTCTTTCTGGTCACTGCACCCCTGCACTTTTCTGTCATACACTGATTCTCTCCCACGCACCTTGCATGGTTCTAACGAATTGCTCACGCGCTGTTCATATCTGACTGACACCAGGTTCCCTCGCGTTTATCTCACGTCGGACCCCGGCTATGACCTCCCCTTATTGCATTACCTCTCTTTTTTTTTTACCTTAGATTCCCGGCATAACTCAGCAACTCATTATCCACGCATAACATACATCACATCACGATCATTTACCACATCCCTGTACCTACCTGCATCAGAACAAAATTATCTACCTCATGGCCAAGCCGGCTTGCTACCAATTGTACATTCATACATCCCCTCGCCTCCTCATATAGCCCGAGGTTCTATGATATAGAGAATATATACCTAATCGTTCGTTCTTCACGCGGATTCTTTACTCCTAGCTTTTTATTGGTTTCCATATTCACGACCTTTCTCGACGCGTAGATTCGTTAGTGGAGATTCGGTTGGGATGAAATTAAATCACAATTAATGAAAGCATACAGATGTAAGGATACTGAGGGGAGATATGGGGTATGGATTATGAAGCATGCCGTTCTCATGATTGAAATCATCGCGGGGCGTTAAGTTCATAGTCAAAGTCGCTGTTAACACCTGCAAACAGCACACAGCCCTTTCGTGAATCGAGAACAAGGGCGCCTGGTATTCGGACATAGATTAACATGGCTGACAGTCGATGGGCTCGTAAAGGTGCGTTGGTGTTGTTGTGGAGGTCTTGTATCCGATGCAGTTTGTGGCTGGGAGATGCATGGAAGACGAAGAAAAAGATGAAATTAGCAGCAACTTGTTTCGATCAAGTGACCTCGGGGTTGCACACGACTGGTAGTATGGGCCCCGCGCGCTTCCAACTGCGCCATGCTGCTTGTGACTGTTTGGACGGGAGGGTTGGCAGTCTGTACAGGTGGAGGCGGTATGGATAGCAGGTAGAGACTCGAATTCTGTGGTACAATAGTGGAAGAATGGAAAAAGAAAGTGGAAATTGAGAAAGAGGACAATGGATACGAGGAATGTAGCGTGAGAGCATTTTAGTTTTGGCGGAGGATTGTGCCACGCCGTGATCAGTCGAGGATTTGAATCCCTGAATCCCAGCCACTGCTCTTTTCCTCTCCCCACTTCCCCTTTCCTCCCCCTCCCTGCTCGACTCAAATGTCGGGCAAGGCCCCTCCAAGAGGTCCCAGAGCTCTTCTTGGCTCCCTTCCACCATCTACGCCCCATGTCAATCATCAGCACCAGCAACCACAACAGCAGCAGATTCACCCACCCTCTTCCTCTTCCTCGTCTTCGCAACAACAACGGGTTTCTCCAACTTCTCTCTCTTCTCCGTCTAACAGTCGGATAGGTGCTGTCCCACCAACAGGTCCCCGTAGCTTGAATGGTCGACAACCACCGCCAGGGCCGAAGCACCTCGTAAACGGTCATGGCAATTTGGGTCCTGGTATTCCGAATGGTCCTCACGGCCTGCAGAGCAATCGACACCCAATCTCGATCAAAGGAAAAAGCCCAGAAAAGGGCCCCGTGGCAGGGCGCTCTGCCTCTTCGGTATGGAAATCACATATCTGTGAAAATCGAAGACGTGTATTCAATTTCCTCTTTCGTGTTTTATTTTCTAGACGTGGCAATCATCGGAATCTCAGCCAAACGGCTGGCATGATTCGAACGCGAATGGAAATACAAGCAGTAGCAGTAGCAGCGCTAGTCCTGTCGTAACTACGAGCATCGCGAGTAGCAGCAGTGCGGGAGGTAGCAGGGCTGCAATATCTATACCGATAGCATCCGCCAAATCTGCAGCAGCATTGGCTCGAGAAAAACCTGCCTTTCAATCGCCATTTCAGCCCCGTACCATTCTTCGAGATCACCCAGCGCCTCTAGCGCCTTCACCCGCACCGTCTCCCCGCGATCCTCCGCCGCCGCCTCCACCACCAAACTACGATCCACCACCTCCGCCCCCGCCATCTCAACCGCCGCCACCAATGCCTCCGCCTCCCACGGGAGATGAGATTTCATCACCTCCGGGAGCGCCTCCACCAGCGGATAGACCACCACCACCACCACCACCACCACCATCTAGCAGTCCACCGCCGTGTCCACCGCCCCCATCTTCACCAATATCTATTACCATGCCACCCCGCCGGCCTCATTTAACTCCACGTCCACTGTCACCGCCTCTTGCGTCTTTCTCTCAACCCTCGCCTCCACCTCCACCTCCACCTCCTGTACCATCACCACCCCCGGCACCTCCAGCTTCTCTCCCTCCACCTCCGCCTCCGCCATCATCGACGCCACCACCGCCTCCACCCCCAGATGAAACACCTCCGGCTCCTCTACCTCCCCCAAGTACAGTACTTCCTACACCGGTCGATCATCCACGACCCAAAAGCCCCCACCCGGCAATACCAGACCCCCGTGAAGGGTCGCGTCCAACCACGCCTACCCTACCCACTCCTTTGCTCCCACCGCTCAAAATACAGCCGCTGCCACCACCTCCACCACCCACGCTTACCGTTATTGTACCATCACCTCAACCACCTCAAGAACCAGAAAAGCTTCCGACCCCACGACCACCATCGCCAGCTAAACTTTATTCTCTCCCGTCCTTACCACCATGGCCGCCCCCACGCTCCGCTTATCCAATGTATCGTCCGTTCAAGCTTCTCTACGATCATGCTGTTGATGGAGCGCTAACACCTTCTCCTCTCTCCTCTATGCCCGTTGACAAGCACGCACACTCATACAACCACTACACCCCGAATATGATCAATGGCCGGACACCAGCTTATTATCGGGGCTTGATTGAGCATGTGAGGAAACACGCCCCGAGCGCGGCCGTTTTGCAGGAGCGGATCAAGGGAAAGGGGGAAGGAAAGGAACAATTATTTAGGTATGAGGGCGAGGTTGTGGGACGTGGGACGGAGAGTCATGAGGCAGCGAAGGAACCGGGAGTGGTACGGGATGAGGAGTCGTTGGTTATCAGGGATCCGAGGAAGGTGCCGGGTTTCAAGAAAATGCAGAGCTTAAGGCCGGGACGGTCTGAGTTTCACGAGGTCAAATACGAGGTGCGTTTCGTTGAAATTATCTTGTAGTTGTCCGTAATTTTTTCTTTTCTCGTGTGCCGATCTTCCTCCACTAATTTCCTTTACATTCCTGCGCTGACTTTTTTTTTCTATTATTTTAGTATGATGACAATTCCACAGGCCCTCCACCCCCGACTGCCGTACTAATTACTAATATTCCACCCTTGACACCAACACAAGCAATCCGCCGCCACTTCTCGACATACGGTACCTTATCCCAATTTGAGCCTCAGATTAATCAAGCAAACGGAAGCGCGCTGGGAATTGTCTTTATACGCTTCGCAACGCACGAGGAGGCAAAGAAGTGTGTGGAAAGGGAAAACGGGCGGAAAAGTGGTGGGTTTGGTATTGGAGCTGCTGGAGCTGCAGATGGAGAGGAGCTGCGGTGTGTTTTTGATGGTGAGGGGACGAGGCTCAAGGCAGTATTGAAGGAGCTGGAGGAGAGGAAGAAGCGGGAGAAGGAAGAGAAGCGGAGAAGAGAAAAAGGAATCACTATCCCTGTAGGTCCTGCTAATGGCACTACAGCAACTCCGCCACCTCAAACACCTGTAGGCCAGACACCGAGCCAGAACCAGGCGCAGTGGGGACGCGCCAGCCAGAACCAATCGGGCCCTCAAGGCCAGCAGCAGCCAAGGCGCGCGCCAGCTGCTCCAGCCACTGTGGCTCGCCCACATCCAACCCTCCCGGCTAATCCCATGGTCGCCGCCGCTGCAGCAGCTGGTTCTTCCTCTAGCCCGGTCTCTGCAACTACCATACATCCTCCTGCATCCATACCCGCCAAGCCTGTAAACGGCGCCGCAAATGGAAGCATCGAGCCTATCAGACCCATGCGCCGCCCACCTGCAGCCTTGTTAAAAGCAAGGTTGGAAACGGCTAGGGCTGTTCCCATGAGTTCGCATCCAAGGTACGGGCCGCGTGAGAGTGACGGGAGGAGAGATGATCGGGACAGGGATCGGGATAGAGATAAGGATGGGCGAGACAGGGATAGAGATAGAGATCGTGATCGCGACCGGTCTAGGGATAGGGACAGGGATGGTCGAGCTGTGTCCTCTTCCTCGACACCTATACACTATGAGAAAGATTGGAGGGGACGGCTGGGGCGCAACAGCTATCGGCCGGCATCTGACCGTTATCACCCTTCGCCAATAGGCCGCGACCGCGATCGGTATGACAGACACTCCTCAGATCGATATCATCCGTCACCAATGGACGCATCACGGTCACCTTCACCAACCTCGAGGTACGGAATGGGCGACAGGGATCGGGATGAACGGGAATCGGGGAGGGGCCGGGAGAAGGGCAAATCAGAGAAGGAAGAAGACCATGTTAGCGTTCTAAAACAGCTCGCGGAGAACGGAAAGGACCATGTCAGACTGCCTTTGGTGGGAGGGTCGGTGAGGGAGCAGGACGTGAAGGACTTCTTTGAGGGTTTCAAAGTTGACAAAGTGCGTGTCCCGCTGCTTTAGCTTCGCATCATGTGCTGATTCTCTCTCCCTTTCCCGGTTCTCCAGATCCTAAAAGACCATTTGGGATGGTATGTAACTTTTGAAACTAACGACGCGGCTCGGCGTGCTTCCATGGTCCTAAACAATTCGTCGAGCAAGATGCTCGCATACCAATCCGTCAGCGTGACTATCCATCCCGCACCCCCTGCGCCTTCTCAGGCTTTGAAGAAAACACAGTGGGAAGAGCACGAAATGATCGAGCAGGCCCAGCAAATCATCGTTAAAGAGCTCCAAGCGTTCCTGGAGAAAGATATTACCAACGAGGTAGTTGTACCTGACATAAGGGAGTTGATCAGGAAGGAAAAGAGCGGAGGAAGTCTCGACTTGTCGACGGGGATGAAGCCTGTAGAGAAAAGAGGATTGAAGGGGCTGTCATTCAAGAAGCAGAAAAAAGAGGTTGTGGAGGAAGTCAAGGTGGCAGAGGTGGAAGTTGTTGAAATGGTCACGGAGATTGAGGTAGAACAAGGCCACGATGCGGAAGAGGAGGATGAACTTGTGGCTGAGAGACCAAAAAAGAAAAGAAAGAAAGAGGTGGTAAGGAAGACTAGCCGAAAAGTTGTGGAAGAGGATGTAGAGTCTGAAGAAGAACTTGTGGACCCCACGCGGGCTGCAGACATAATACGGAAGAGAACTTCATCTGAAGATCTCGAGGATGAGGAGAGTGAACATGTGAGAAAGAAGCTGAAATTGGAGGTTCCTGCAGAAATCATCACAAAACCAAAGAAGATAGTGTCGAAGAAAAAGAAACAGACGAAGAAAGGTGTCGAAGAACACGTTGACGATGTTGTCTTTCCTGACATGGAGTTTGATGTTCCCGCTGTCGCTCATGTTCACATCACATCGAGTTTCGATTCTTCTCTTTCTCCATCTCCTGCGCCAGAGCGGGTTCGCGTCGTGACGCCGCCGCCCACGCCTCCCCCTGACGCGTTAGACATTGGTCTCTGTGAGGATGATGAAGATCTTTATTATCTGAGGCTCGTGCTATCTGGGTTCAAACACCCTGTTCCCGAAGTAGAACCAGAAGCTCCGCCACCGTCTTCACCAGATGCCCTGCCATTCCGAAAACATGTTACCGGATCTGCCCGTACTGAGGGATACTACAAGATCACCCATGCTGAGAAGGCTGCATATGTCGCGCAATACCAAGCACGCGCCACCGCAGTTGAGACCATCGCACCAGTCGAAGAACCGCAGCAACACATCACGTCGTCTAGGTCCAACCGTGCGAACGCACGACGCCGTGCCCAAGGCTTGGAGGAAATTAATCAAGTCCAACGAGCCGTTGCT